AAAGTAAAAACAAGATGCCATAAAGGCTCTGAATAGTGAAACTTTAGCTCCTAGATGAGATGATGCTCAGAGATGGGCCTTTGGAAGCTAATTAAGGTTGGTCGTGGTCATGAGAGAATGGGGTCCTACTAATGGGATTTGTGTCCTAGTAAAAGACATCATAGCATTCAGGATGATGAGACAGAAGAAGCATCCCACAAGTTCAAGATTGGCCTGGGTGACATAATGAATTCTAGGCCTTCTTGGGCTACAAATTAGATCTAATCTCAAAAAAAGAAAAAAAGATATAGGAGAAAGAGAAATGCTAGCTATCCCTACTCTATTCTCCACCCAAATTCCTAGAGGAGGGTCTTGTGAGAACATCTAGTTTATGGCCATCTATAAGCCAGTAAAAGTATCCTTACAAGAACTGAATTGCCTAGCACAGTGATACTGGATTTGCACCTTCTATAACTGAGGTACTTAGTTTTAAGCACCCAGTCTGTGGTATTTAGCTATAGCCACCACCACCCAGAAAACAAATGCAGGTGGCATTCTCTAAGATCATCATGGCATGTTCATCTGGAATGTCTTTATGCTAGAAGAAGATCTGCCTTTAGGCAAGCAAGGCAATGGGATACAGACAATACAGCAAAGCTGAGATTCTTTATGCAAGTGATGGCAACCAACATTGTCATGCAGTTTTGTGCATTGTCACTTGGTTGTGAGTAGAAATTGCCTGGACTGGACCATAAAGTGCTTTAAATAAGTACACAGAAGGTAGACATAAGAAGTAAATGGCCACCTCTAGACCTCTTTGGAAGCAGGCAGGATGGGAGCAGAAAATGTATTAGTAAGAATTGCACAAGGAAGTGGAAGTGTCCAGCAATACACCAGTGTGTGGAGCAGGCATTTTTAGACCTCTAACAATATAACAGAATAGCTTTGGGCTCTGCTGGATATAACAATACAAGTGTCACCCTGAACAACACACACATCTTAGGTGGCAACATGTATATGCTTATCCTTTTAGAAACATCTCAAATATCATCTTTTTCTGTGACTTTTCTAAATGTTGATTGAAAATGACATTTGTATATTTTTACATCCTGAAGCACAGAATTATTTATTGGCCTTTCTTTGAGGCTTCAAATGAAACTTGGTTCTACGTATATAAAGCACTTACCACATCATGTTACAGAGAGTTGGGTGTGGTTTCTGAACTCTGAAGGCAAAACTGGGAACAGAGTAACTACTCAGCAAACATTGGAAAGAATGAGGGAGTGAATGATGAATGAATGAGGTGAATGATAAATGGAAAAATGAATGACAAATGAATTAATGAATTGAAGATGAATGAATGAATCTGTGCTCTTTTAATGAGTCCTCACATACCTCAGACTTCTAGAGACTCCTTGACTCTACTTCCTGATGCTCCATCTGCCTGCATAAGAAGCTCTGAAATGTGTTTAAGCCATGTTTCCACCGGCAGAGTCATGAGTCAGTCATGGAGCTACCATGATACAGAGGCAGTAAGCTTCAGAGCAGCATACAATATTCCATACTTTACTAATATCCATCCCACTGTTGTTTTGTCACATTTTAAAGATTCCTCAACTACTGAAAGACACCATAACAGCCTGGACTACTTGCTGTATAGCCTAGGCTTGGAGGGCTGTCCTCATGTTTCCTAAGGAATTAATCGTCTCATCATCCATATCCATAACCAACTCCTTAAAAGATTATTTCCTTGCCAGTCGCTGAATATGGGGCTTCATACATACAAGACAAGTGCTCCTAACATTCAGTGTAGCCTCTGACAAATGCTTTTTAAAATAAAATTAAACCAGTCATTTTTAAGGACATCCAAATGTTAATGTAGGCTCTGTAGTACATATTCCGTTAGTCCCCTCTCTGTCTATCACCTAGCCTGATGCCTGGAATACCTCCCCTCTAGTCTTTTCCCCTTTCTTTGCTGATATGTGGCCTATGCTATATTCTTACTAAACACTGTTTAGGCCTGCCCTTACCATTGTGAATCCTCAAGAGGAGAATCTTCAAGGCCTCATGGTTAGATACTTGAGGACCTAACATGAGGCATAGGCATACATTATGGTAGAGAGACGGAGTGAAGCTACTAAGTAATACCAGACAGGCAGGTGTCCCAACAAAGCTGTGGTAGACACAGATAAGCCAAATGACATGTAGAATAGATGACATAATGTTGAGAGTAATCAGGAAAAAATGTTTTTATTTTATCTTTTTTTAATGTTTTGCCTGCATGTACATGCTTGTCTGTCTATGCACCACATGTATGCAGTACCTGTGGAGCCCAGAATACAGTATCAGATCCCTTTCAAACCGAACTTACAGGGACTTGTGAGCTGCCATTTATGTGCCCAGAATCAAACCTGGGTCCTCTGGAAGAACAGTCCCTCAGGAAGGAAGGTTTTAAGCATTTGGTTTTCTCTTCCTTCTTTGCTGTCTGCCTTCTAAAAGTACTTACTTAATATTAACTGTGCCCTGAACACTGTCCTTATAAAAACAACAATGAATAAAGTCATGTCTTTGTGCCCTTACTAAGCTTACATTTTGGTACAAATGAAAATATGTAACTCCATAAAGAGTTACAAGCATGCAAAATGAGCTTAAAAAGTAGCTCAGTTGCTCAAAAAGTTAAACAGGACTACCCTGACCCAGCAATCTCACTCTTGGACCTGAAAGCAAGGAGACAGCACATATCTATGCACTAGTGTCCATGGCAATAGCCTTCTTAAGGGTCAAAAGACATGAGCAGCCCAAATGTCTATGCATGATGAGCTGATAAATGCAAGGTGGGATAGGTAGAAGTAGATAATAACAATAATAATAATGATGAATAGAGAGAAGATAATTGAGATGAGAGATGGATGATAAATCATGATGATGATTATAGATAATAATAATAAATAGATAGAAGATAATTGAGATAATGGATGATAGATCATGATAGATAGATAGATAGATAGATAGATAGATAGATAGATAGATAGATAGAAAGAAAGAAAGAAATAGGGAATTTCAAAGCATACTACTGCATGGGTAAGATTTGAAGACTTTAGAATAAGTGAAGTAAGTGTATATTAAAAGGACCAATCTTATATTATTCAATTTTCATGAGTTCCCTAGATGATCAGTTTCACACAGAGTATGGATGAGCTGTAAATAGTGAGGAAGGAGGAGCTGCTTAATGAGAATATGAGCCTGACAAAATGAAAAGGTTGTAGAGATGGATGGTGACAATGTTAATAAACCTAATGCCACTGAGATGCACATGAAGAGTGTTAAGATGGTAAACAGTAGCTATGATTTTTACCACAATAGTCTTTCTTACTCTTAAAAAAAGAATGACAAGAAGCTTGAGTGGGGATGATTTTTAATTAGAATCATCTGAGGTGATTTGGAGTAAAAGTTAATCACAATGAGAAAAACATAAGATGACACAGGATGTTTCTGATTTTGCTCTAAACACAACAGAATGCTTTTGAAGTGTTTTGATCAGTTGAAAAATGAAGCCAGATGTGGTAGCACACACTTTTAATCTCAGTGCTCAAGAGGCAGAGGTGGGTAGATCTCTGGGATTCCAGGTCAGCCAGGGCTGCATAGCGAAACCTTGTCTCAAACAAAAAGAAAAGAAAAAAAACACCTTAAAAGATTTTAAGATTAATTGAAAAGATTTTCTTGGCTGTGTATGAAAAACACACAGAGCATTTTCTGGCAGAAATCCAGAAGCCAAGAGGTTACGAGACTCCTGCCATCACCTGAATAGTTAACCCAGGGATGTTGAGATAACAATGATAAGTGAGGTTTGTCAGGTTATAGTTCAAGAGAGTGACTGATTTGGGTATGAGGGCAAAGGACAGCATCTCTAGTTTTGCCTGAGAACTTTGCAGATGGAAGTTCCCTATGCTGAGGTGGAAATGACCAGAGACAGAGCTGCTTGGTGGATGATGAATGGTATAAAGAGGCAATCAAGAGATCGTTACACAGAGAGTGAGACATTAGCCCAGTGTCTGTCAGATACCAGCACTAACTCCAAAAAGTCTTTGGTTAAACTTAATTAATGAATGATAAAAGTGAATGATGCAATAGAGGCTAGGAGCGAGGGAAAAGTGAATGACTCAATGGAGGCTAGAAGCAAGGGAAAATGGATAAGGGAAGAATTAATTCTAAACTTTACAAAACGTGACTTGGTAAAATCATGATTGTAAAAACACCAGTCTAGAATTCCAATAATACTCTCAAACCACAAATGAGGGCTTTATTCTGAAACTCATCTTCCTTCCATAGGAATGTGCTTATAAAGCCACCAAGCCCTGCCTCATGGTACATAAACACAGAAGGGACATAGGGAGGAGTCAGGTTTTTCATGGCCCTTCTGGCTTTGAGATAGGAGCAAGGCCACTGAGGCCCCTCTGAAACTTCACCCCACTGCTGCCAGTCACCAGACCCCAATTTCACTGTCCACTTACACACACACACACACACACACACACACACACACACACACACACAGGCCCTTGGCATTCCCAGTGTGCAGATGTTATGCAATGACACTCAGTCATGCAAGCAAATGCCAGAGTTTCAACAGAGGACCTCACTCTCTAAGGACAGTGGTTTAAGCCAGCAGGAGACAAGATTATTTCTTTCCACCTGATGCTGGTCTTGAGTTGTCTGATCCACTAATTGTTCTTATGGAGCTTCAGGACAGTATCTACTGGGAGTCACAAATCAAGGGCAAGGATTAGTGAGAAGAGCAGATGTTAAAAGTCACTGTCACAATTCAGTATCACCTACACAGTGAGGGGGAAATACCTGAAATTATACTATAAAGCAGCGGTGCAGCCGACCACCTGTTTTGTGCATGCGTGTGTGTGTGTGTGTGTGTGTGTGTGTGCATACACGCACACACACATGTGCATGTAATATATTTATATATGGCTTTCATGTGACTGTGTTTGTCCTGATTCTTTCTTTCGTAGGACTGAGGGTACAGGGTGCACCAACATCAGTCCCCTTGCCTGTTTCTCTTATGACAAAAATCACCCCACCTACAGTCACCTGGACTACCTCTGCTCAAAACACTGCTATGGCCGCCACCCCTGGGGCCAATGACACTCACAATGCCTCAGTCCTCACCACGACTCCTGCATCTGTGACATCTCAGCTCCCCAAGAACATTTCCACTGTCCCCAAAGAAGAGGCTGTCACCAGCCCGGCTTTGAAGCAGAATAGCAGCAACACAGTCTCTTCACCTACCAGCTTCTCCTCAACGAGCAGCAACGTCCCCTTGACATCCACACCCAAGGAACACAGCCTTGGCAGTCCTGAAACAAGTGTGCCAGCCACTTCCTCACAGCAACCCATGCTCATTTCTTCTCGGGCACCAACCTTGACGTCTACATCCCAGGCAACTTCCCCACCCGAGTCTCTGTCTGAATCCAGTACCTCTAATCACAGCTCTACTGTGATTAGCATCCAGCCCACAGGAGCTCCAATGGCACCCACCTCCCCAACTGAGGGGCACAGCTCTAGTCACATGCCCACTTCCCATGTCACAGCAGAGCCAGCACCCAAGGAGAAATCACCCCAAGATGCTGAGCATGGCAAAGTGGTCTGTGAGTCTGAGACCACCACTCCCTTCCTGATCATGCAAGAAGTGGAGAATGCCTTAAGTTCAGGTGAGTCCCTCTTGAGATCAGATTGATGTTTTTTGGTTATGCTAAGGTTAAGCACCCTCCCATGGCAGGCAGGTGGAGTGCACAATACCCAAGGGTAATTATAAGACTCAGTGATTTTTAACAAGAGTGCAAGTTTACTCTTTGACATTCTTTGTAGTCAGTTGTCATCTGTCTGATGTGTCTTCTCAGACTGTCACAGGGATTGTACATAAGTGAGACCATGGAGTAAAAAGAAGTTGGTCAAGCTTCCTTAGGTCTTACTTCCAACAACTTCCCAGCCCCCTCTCAAAATGGAGGAGACCCCTGCCCAAAGCAGGATCTTTTTATCCCTTTGGGTATCACAAAGCCAAAGAGAAAATCCAAAGCTGAGCACCAGGGGTCCATATCTGTTTATGGCAGAGAACGGAGAACTGGGAGTCTAAGCTCAGAAGTCAGTGGTTTGCCTTGTTTGAGGTGGGTTTTCAAAAGTAATATGGGAAGAATCTTTTCCCCTTCTACGTTATGTCACAAATACAGATTCCAGTTACAAATGAAGTTCGAGGTTGTCAAGCCATCACTCTGAAAGAACCTTAGATCCAACTAGTTTTGGCTAGCCCAGATGAAGGGGATGCTCTGGCGTTCAACGATAAGATTAAGAGCAATTAAATATTCATTTAGGACCCTGGGTGACAGTTACAGCTCTGAGTTATGACGTGGGCCACACTCTTTCCCTATGCCCTTCTTTTTCCTCATCTTTAGTGTTCTGCCACACACTGTCCTGTGGCGATCAGATGGCAAACACTGCTTAAGAGAGCTGGCACAGAGTAACTCAAGAAACTAAAGTTTGTCTCAGAGTTCTAATAAAATGTTGACCTTAGAAGCTTACCCCTGTAGGGTAGAGGTGGAGAAGGCTTGGTCATCGACACTTCTATTCCTCATGGAAAAGAGCATGGGTTTTACAAAACACTGCATTCATTTTTATTCTCTCAAAGCCCCTGTAAAGTTAGTGTCATGTTAGCCTTATTTTGCCACCTTGGAAATTATGGCAGACAGATATTCAGGGTCTTTTCTAAAACCACACATACTAGACACCAATGTGAAACTATAAACTTCTGGACTTAAGGCAGAAAAAGCTCCTATAAAAACAATTGTCCATGTGGCAAACACCCAGAAAGGTGAGGATGGCTGAAATGCAAAGTGGAAATGGACCCAAAGCCTTTTCCTGGGTGACCATGGGTTGCATTGCGAACAGAACATTACAGTCAGATCATGTTTGACAAGCTGTCAGTGCTGAGAATAGACATCTTTTGGTGAAAACAAGCAAATGTCGGGAATGGAAATAGTGTTAAAGAGTTGCAGGAAAAGAGAAAGCTAAAATTAATGAAGGAAGAGCCGATAGGATAGGCTAACTAGGCAAGCAATCCCAGAAAACAGAGCAGTAGACACTGTAGAAACTGTAATTTTCAAAGGATAAAAACTTTTTATTGTTTTTCAAATCTTATTTCAAGAGGCTGGGGGCATACCAGGGAGGGGAACAAGAATGAAGAACATTCCAATTGGGAAGACGGAGTCCACTGCAGAGGCCTGGCTGAGGTACAGGAGGCACAGTCAGGGCTAGGCCTGAGACAGGAGAGAACTGAAACCGGCGGTCGGGATTACACCTATGGAAAGATCACCTCCATGACAGCAGAGCCTTGGTTCAAGGGAAATACTCTGCCCTCCTCTTCTACCCGCCTTCTGACACCCAGTCAGACACCAAGTGAAGCCAGTAGTGTGGCAGAGAGCCTGGTGGAGAAGGGTAGAGGGCAAGCCTGCAGAGGGGCAGAAGCAACCTATTTGTAACCAGCTGACACCTTGTTAACAACGCCATAGCAGCATTCATCATGTCCTTACATATGTGCCCCTGTTGCTATCTCGCCCTGACTTCCTGTCTGTTTGGAGGAGGTGCCTAAAGCAGAGTAGCTTGTGTAAAATCCATCTCTCATTCAGGGGCCATCCAAATACAAGCCTGTGGGCATGGTCCCATTCACCTTTTCCTTCCTGGTTTGGGCTCTGAGCGCCATTGTCTGTGTGTCTGTTTCCTTTTGCTTCTCCCTCCAGAATTCCATAGATGGACAACTCGATACACTAGAATACAAAGTCTAAACTTGGTGAAAAAATAGCTCTCCAGAATCTGATACATCTACTACTTTCTAAAATTCCCTACTTCCTTTACTGGAACCTTCAGGAAAGTTCTGGTATTTTGGCTTGATCTTTAGCTCACATATCTTCTTTTCTTCAACCCAGCAGGGCCAAAGGTTCAACATTAGTGGTACAGCTGGGTCATGGTCCTTTGTAGGTCAAGAGAATCTGCATACACAGGAATTCTGCATGAAGAGAAGTCTGAATGGATGGGGAAGAGAAAATAGTAGCATGGGATGGTGATTACCAAGTTCAGACCAAGGTGGCTTCATAGAACATGGAGAATTTGTCCTTAAGATCTCCTTTAATACAAAAATACTTAAAGTGCATCTGTCAGGACCCATTGTCTGTCCTTTGAGATTCAAGCAAAGAGAAAGAATCCAAGTAACTCCTAATTCCACTTCTAGCTTCTAGCCCAAGAATGAACCAAGGCAGGTGGGATGAGCATGGGAGCTGTGAGATTCAGTCTGCATTGCATAGTGAGGAGACTATTCCCTGGAGGGGTAATGTGCCTTGCTCAAGGTTATACCTCTCTCAGGAACAGAGCTGGGCCCAAAGTGATCTGGCTCCAGGCCAAGCCAGCACTGCTGCACACACCTCATCAGCCCTTAGCTCCCCTGAGTTTCTGTTTCCAGACAGCTGGGCAGGGATGCTCTTCAGCAGAGATTTGTTGCTGCAGTGGTAAGACCACACTTGGTATGATACTTGGTCTTATTCTGGGTGAGTTTACATAGTATATTTATTTATATTAATCCATCTGGTCAACAGATACTTAGACCTAGACCACTGATGATTAATTCAGAAACAAAGCAAATGTTATATGAGTTCAAATCAACCAGAGAAAGCATGATACTCCATGCTCAAGGGAGCAGGAAGCTGCAGGAAATGAAAAGCATCTGAGAAAATGGGTCTGGAAGAATTGTGCCGACATGAGGGTCCAGAAGTACTAGGTGATGCTGAGGAGAGCCAATTGCAGTTGAAGGGCTGCCTGCTCTCAGCCAGGAAACCAACACCTTCCCTAAACAGAGACAGTCTATAACTGAAATCATACTCACTGGGTTTCAAAGACCCATGCAGAAAAGAACAGAAAGTCAACCATTTTATATTGTTTGCAGACTGAGATGGTAATATTTTAGATACATTGAGTTAAATAAGAATAATATTTTAAATGAACAAGCAGCAGCTTCAAGCATATCTCATGGTGCTGTGGCTCTAATGGTCTAATTGCTTCCCATTTGAACCAGGATGAAGCGCCAGGGTTTAAGGTCATGCCAGCAAAGATCAGCATGCCCTGCACCCATACAGACTTTCTACTCTCCAATCGTCCCACCCTCAAACTCCCTGGCAACTTTCTGTTAGCTGGACTTGGAGAACCTCCTACCTCAGGTCCTTTGCACTCACTGTTCCCCTGCCTGAAATGTCCACCCGCTGCCTCTTTTTAATGGATCAGCACTGTTCCTTGTCCGGACTGCCATCCCTTTAGCAAACCTCTGCTCTACCAAGTGGAATGGTAACTGCCATCAATGTGGATCCCTTTACCATGCTTCACTTGTCTTGCTATTCCTTGCCATCTCTGGCAGCATCTTCTCTACTAGGAGACTCCCTGCTTTCTGCTGCTAGGCTAACGGAAAGGACCCTGATCACAAAACATAAAGGGGAGGTTATGTCTCCAGCCCTCTGATGAGGCAGATCCTCAGCAGCGGTCAGTGGATCAATGAAAGTGTCCATCAGCCAGGAGGGAAGCTGCTGCATTTATCAGAGACCCATTTTTATCAATAAGATGGACTACGGAGAACAAATGCAGGATGTGACTATTGGAAGGTTTAGCTAACCTGTACACTTAGCTATTGCACAGTGTCCCCAAACAATGGCTTTGACTTTCTTTTTTACTGTTATTTACTACTTTATTAACTTTTTGATGTTGCAACTATTGCCATCTTTACTATCATATTTGCCATAATGAAGGATGCCCACAATCTTCAACAAGCATTTACTAAGCTAAGTATCCAGCTCTATACTAAGGACACATGTAGCTATGAACAATAGTCACTTCTCTGGAAATTTACAATGTAGCATGTCTATGGCCCAGAAAGTAATACAGAGTTTCATGCTGCCTGGAAAGGCACATTACCAATAAAGGAGAAAGGGGCTTCGGGAGGGGTTCCAGAGGCCCTAGATTATAAGATAAGGTTGTTGGCTATACTTGGTATGCACTGGTAGTCACTGAGGGGAAGCATAGTCTAAGAATTATACTTAAACAGTATCCACCAGCAGGAAAAATGTGCTTGGTAAACTGTAAGCAGCTGAGGACCAAAAAGATATACCAGTTCATACATGGTTTCTGGTTGCTCATCATCAATTGTAGAGAGGTCGTGTTATTTAACTGCTCTCCCGTTAGGGCTTTTCACTCGAAGCTGAATTCAGGAGAGGCCATCTTGTGCTTGTTGTACTATGACAATGGTTTATTGCACTGACCTAATGTCTACAAAATGAGATCCTTGTCTGTGAGCACCTTGCTTGGAGATTGGGCCATTCCTCAACACAGGCTCCCCTCACTCAGTCTTTGGAATACACCAATGGGGCCAGATCAGCTGCTTCTGTTCTAAAGGTGAAAACTATGTGTGCAGAGATTGACTTACTCAAGCCTCACGTGAGTGACAGGGCCAGGGTTCAAACTCCATCCTCCAGACAGGTCTTAAGCTTGGCCAGGCTTCCTGCCACTGAATGCATCCTGTATGACATAATGGAAACACAGAGTCATGAGAGCTAACAGTTGCCAGCACATTGAATAGGCTACATGGGACACTGTCTGATCTCACCATCTGGGTTACCAGTGGACT